TCAGGGATACATTAACGTAAAATCATTAGCGTCTTCTTGCCCTCTTCCCTGGGAAGGGTCAAACCTGTATGTAACAACAACTATCTACCGACTATCAGATGACAAATCTAAATTCACTTCCATCTACACTTATCCTCTTTCATACAATTTATCCATACATTTTCGGTGTTTATTTATTATTGAAGCAACTTTACCTAGAATATTTAAAGAAATTAAGCAACTAAGTATGCCATTGATTCCTAAACACCTTGTAATATAAACGTGTTCGGAATAAACCCTGGATCCATTTATTTTAATAATGACCAAATTTGTATCATAGTTACTGTTGAACTGTTAGGGTCACAAGATTTTCCTCGACAGCAAATGATTATAAAAGATTTAGTAGTGTCTTTTATTAATTCAGTTCGCAAATAGGTCCAGTCCATTAACCTTAGATACGAAGACATAAAAATGTTTCCTTAATGTCTTTGATGTTAAATTGGAACTAATTAGCATTTTATAGAGAGTTTGAATTAAAATGCTAATTGTCGAAAGCTTATTATTTCTCTCCTATATCTATAACAGATACAACGATGTAATACTTAAATAAAATTAATGTATTTACTTGTAATTAACTCCATCACACATGTCATGGCTGGAAGGTAAACAATTAGCAGAAGTTGCAGTTTCTTTAATATCTTGATACGCTTGTCTAGCGCTCGCAAAACCAAGGGACTGATGGAACTTATCTACTTCATCAAAAAGATCCTTTGCATGCAGCAATTTATTGTTTATTGCCGTAGGTCTTGGAATATCAGGGTATATTGCAACTTTATTGTAAACTGCTTGCCATTCTTGCGCCCATAAGTTACCTAAAATAAAATAATTCTCTTTTCAACTAAACTTATTTGCTGTAACTTTTCTGTCAGGCGCACCAACGTTATTTTTTAAGTGCAAAAACTAAAAATAATGTTATTTAAAACATATATTCGTCACCGTTAGAGAGAATGCTATAAATGCTACATAGAAAAGATAAGTAAATATTGATATTACAAGTTCAAACATTTTGATGGACAGACAATGAGTCAGGACACGTAGCTCTTAAAAGTTTAGGTCATCACTATCGCTTAGGATTTTAGTAAATATTTATGTTTATACTCATAGATACAATGAGTAAACAGCAGACTGTGTCTATTGTATAGATCCTTAGGTATTAAATACACCTTCGATTTAATATATATCATTTACTAACAAAATATAAAAAGAACCTTACCGAGAATGTGTGCAGGTATCGTCTTTTCTTTTTTAGACAGTTCTGATTTGAAATGCTTCTTTAATTTTACCCTCACATAAGTATGTAATAACTTATATAAAGGTTTAATCTCCGACCAAAGTCTATTGACTGTTTCTTCAAAATGATCATCTTCGAATGTATATCTCCACATATCGCCAGCGTCAGTGAAGTTCTCTGATTGCGCTACTTTATTCATTCTTGTAACATAATCATTGAAAATTGGTCGAATTTGTTTTCCAGTGCCATCTCTAAAAGCTTTCCAATAGTACAATAATTCTTTCGTATCATTATTTCTTTTGAATACCGCAATCACATCTGCAAAATATACCACAGTTTAAGACAACAACTAATAATACTAAAGTGAAACCAAAATTGGTAGACGTTGATGTCAAAGTATTAGTATTAGATATCATCATCAGCTCACTATAAGTCCCTACTAAGGGGCTGTTTTCCTTCACCGTAAGAGCGTCGGATAAATGTACATATGTAAATCGAAAATCATAGTGTCACATGGTAGAATTTGAACTCAGGACCTACAGATTACAAGTCAAGTGCTTAAACCCCGGAGCCACTGAAGCTCTCGACGTATTAGATATAATTAAAAATAATTATGTAAAGAACTGAACCAATAACTTACCGCTCATAGAACGTAAAGATTCGTCTGTATTACAATTAGAAGCGTTATAAGCGCATACTGTGACTCGACTCCAAATCCGTTGCATTGTATCTATTTCCTCTCTTTGCTGCAAAAGTAAGCAAATCATAAAGATTCAATGAAATGTTTCATCATAATATTTACATGCATACATTTACAATTCATTCGTACTTTGCTTTGTGGCATTTGCACGTTGGTCCCCCTCTCTTTGATAATTCGTAGCTTCCTCTTTAGTTTCGGATCATTCAATAGTTGCCAATCGTTTAAATATTTCTTTTTCAGCATATTCCAATATTGCTTTTTTATTTCGTCTTCTTCTGCAGCTATTAATATCTGGTAAGAATGAAAATATATTAGACAATACCACGGCTGAGCTGACGGCCAACCTCCAGTAATGGAGAGGCATTAGAAGAACAAGAAGACAATACCAGTATTTGATTGTGAAACCTTTCAATTATCTTCTCATTATAATATTACCAGAAAGCGAAATTACCTATAATTACACATTATTTCCTATTGATAATAAGTCGGAAAAACTTTCTTTCCTTCATTCTTTTAACTATGTTCGTAAGTTACTTACCATTTTATTCTTTTTACTTTCGTTAGTAATATCGGTTACGTAGGACCAAAGTGCTTCCTGTGACGTTTTACAAACGTCTAAGCTTAATTTATCCATTTCCTCCATAAAATTATCGAGCGTCATATTTTCCTTATCTAGTTCATCTATTTGGAATTTAAAATTATCTTCGTCTTCATTGTTTTTCTGTATTACCGCGTTTGGATCAAGAATTGTTCTCATAGCATCTACTAAATATTTTTTGTCTTTTACTTCTTCACCATCAGTGTCTACTTCATGGCCACTTTCATCGGATTGTTCCATAGTTTTATTAACTTTTATCAAATTCTTCTCATCCGCTGACATTTCTGAGGTAGGATTCGTTGGGTATTGCACGGCAAAGGATATTGACATTGTAACAAATATACATGTAATTTGCTGAAAAAAATTAAAATGTTGGTGATTTGGGTCTTTGATGAAAACATTTTTGGTAACTCTCAAAACAATAAAGCTAAATACAGCAGGAAAACTATCCTAGTTAATTTTACTGGAGTATACGTAGGTTCTAACTGCAATCAACATTGAAAATATTGTAGTTTATGAAACTGATTTCCTTAAAAACATTCTTATTAGTTATCGCCCATTTTATCAACTCCTATAATGTTTCATTTTCCACAGATTTAATGTTCTTTAAAAGTTTTTGGTATGTTTTCATTTCACGTTTCCATGTTATAAAATGGATACCTTACATCAGTACCTACATTTAGTACGTGACTAGAAACAAGATACTAACATAACAACTAGTCTGGTATCGTGACAATGTAAACTGGGACAAAGGTACTTATTAAATAATGATCACATCCTGACAGCAGTCTGCAACGCCTGACTCATTCAGTTAATACAGATTTCATTGACTTTCAAATAATCTTACTTCTTACTATCTTATTAATATTATAAATGCGAATGTTAAGATGGATGGATGGATGGAGAGGTGTTTAAATTAATCTAAGATAACAAACTCTAAAATCAGTGAACCTTTGATCGTGCGATCCTGGTTCCAATCTCAAAGTCTTACTATCTAAAATATTGTTACTGAACGAGTAGCTGTCGCCCGCGACTCCGTTCGCGTGGAATTAAAAAAAAATGTAGCCTACGTGGTCTTGCAGACCTTGTTCTATGTCTTTATCAAATTTCAGTGAGATCCATGCAGCCGTTCTAAAGATACCTTCTAACAAACATCCATCGATATATCCAAACACTCGTATTTATAATATTAGGAGGAAATTATGGGAGTAGAAAAAGATTACCGAGTTTAATTTTATAACATTCACGTGAACTAATTATGTATGTATTATACTATTATTAATTAAAGTTTCGATATGCAAAAGAAAAAAATAATTTAAAAAAAATCACCGTTTAAATGTTATCGGAGAAAATAAAAACACCTTTACATACACGCGTATTGTTTCCGAAAAAGTAATTCTGTTGAATCGTTCGCGGTAGCGGTTACAATTGAAAACAACACTGCAATATCTTTTTCACTATTTCGATGTTTCTAAATAAATTCACATACAACAAAATATACTCACCGTAAGATACATGATTGATAATAGTCCATATAACTACGCAACACTAATAATATCACATCTACATAACATCGTAAGTACGTGTTTCTTCCGCAAGAGTTGATACATGAAAGACTTTGAGCACTAACGGTCGATTGTTTGTGAAATCGAGGCACTGTTTGATCGTTTTGTGATGGATTTTTTCAAATCGGAACAATCGTACGGGCGAGATGTTTTGAAAACGTGGGACGTATGGCCGACCCGCGGCTAGCGGACTGGCATTGTGTCTTCAAATGCTTCAGATGCAACGCGACAGGACGTTCTCGTGCGAACGGATACCGTACAATGTTTATTACTACCCTTTGTTCGCTCCTACACGCAAGTGATACGCTAATTTATATAGCTACAATCATTCAATTCCTTAATCATCTCTTATAGCCCGAAAAAGTTGTGAAAATAATTAGCATCGCTACGAGATTTAACAACGTGTGATGTTAACTAACAATATATTTATTGAATTATAGAGGGTTATCTTAAAAACTATAAATTAAATAGCCTACGACTCCGTCCGCGTGGAATTAAAAAAAAAACCTTAATAAGTAGCCTATGCGTTTTTCCAGATTATGTTCTACATCTGTGCCCAATTATATCAAGATTCGTTTGGCCGTTCCTAAGATACCTTCTAACAAACATCCATCCATCCATCCAAACATTGGTATTCATAATATTAGTAAGATTTTATAATTTTTCTAATCAATCAATCCAATTTAATCTAGTAATCAGTGAAATCTAACGATGAAAATTTTTGAAAATTAATTCTGTTACTTAAAAATAAATTCTTGCTTTTTTCATTCAGTCTCAAGAAATTATATTACGCCCAGAAACGCCATAGTCTTAACTAATAAGGAAATAAAATGCTTTGGTTAAATCTAAAGAAGTTTAATAGGTCATTGATAAGAGTAACAATAAGCTTTTATTACTAATGCAATCTACAAGGCATATGATATTGCTTTGTGCGTGTTTGAATGCTGTTTATTCTTTCTTTAACATCATTGCAAGTTTGTCTGCGTTACTTTTGTTGATTTCTTCATATCCGTAAGGTTCCAACTCTTTAACTGTTCTTTCAAACCAAGATTTGACGTTAGGGTAAGAACTGTAGTCGAAGCCAAAACTCTGAAAATATAACAATATAAAAGCTATTTATCTGAATTGTTAATGGCCGCTGTATACGAACTGCTATTTATTTTTTTAAATTGTCAAAATGTTAATGCATTAAATACTATTTTTATAAAAACACAACGACGATAAACACTTAAGCAAACCTTAAAAAATATTAATTTGGTTCATACGTGTGTAAAGGTGATTTAGTAAATTTCTCCTCACTGCCTCGTCTGTGAGATTTGTGAAGATTCGTTACGAGATGTTAAATGTATCGTAAGCTTTCAACTGTTTACACTTGTATTCGAAAGTGTTAGTGACTCACGATATTTTCACTTGCTACTTCAAATGTATATATTTCAATTCTTAGTACTTGTATATGCAAAATGTTTATAATAAATAAAACTGAGTCATTATCTATCAAAACAATAAAATATAATAGCAATTATTTATAATATAAATTTAAGAAACAATCGCGTTATAGGCGCTGAACCGACAAGTTATGTTTTTTTCATTATTTATAAAAACAGTAATAATAATAAGTAAACGAAATAATGGTGATTAATAATTAATCACAAGATATCTAAACATTTTTTTTCATTTCGACCCAAGTGATGTAGAGATAGAGACATCTCGTAAGAGTCGATTATAAAGACATAGCTCCACTTACGTCCAAATTACTCATTGTAACCGCTGTGGTGATATCTGCGATTGAAAGTTTGTCTCCAGCGACAAATTTCCGACCTTCCAACATTGAATTCAACCAGCCAACTACCTCTTTCAATTTATCATTTTTCTCTTCATTATATTCTTTCCCCATTATCATAGGCCACTGAAATAAATAACAAAAAGTAAGTATTTCTTGATGCATTGATTTTAAATTGCTTATTAAAACTGCTTAAATTCCCATCAATCTATTGAATTGTAAGTGCTTTTGTTCTTAAATATTAAAAACGAATAAATAGAATGATATTTCTATAGCAACAACTTAATAATAGTAGTTATAAGATTATTGTGTAATTTGAACAAACATATTCAAAATATCACGATTAAAGATTTTCGATTAGATTTTAAAACAGAATTTTATGTACATTTGATATTATCGATACGAATGATCCATTAGAACAAAAATAACTGGCAGTAAAATTCTCTTACCTAAACAATTAGCTGGTTATAGAACCAGAGACAAAAGTTAACCAAATTTTATGACAAAATATTACACTAACAACTTACGTATAATTCCAGAGACTTCTGTAAGAAAATGAAATCGAAGTAAAGGCGCTGATCGACTATGGCTCTCTGCTGAGCATCATTCGGGTACAAGGCATCGTCAGCACCGTACGCGTTCACCAAATACGCCATTATCGCACGGCTATAACGCATACATTAGTTTAAGTGAAAAGTTTATGTTTCAGGAGATTAAGTTCAACAACGAATTAAACTTATTAATAAACTTAGTCGCCTTCGATAGGAAGTAACGTATTTTCTATTTATCTAACACTGAAGATTGCACTACAAAGTTTGTGCTTAAACTGGTTTAAATGGTAAGCATCTGGTTAGTCAAATTGAGAAGTATTCCGTCAATTCAAGATATTAGGATAATGGATTACTTCAATGGATTGCTCTACTTATCGTCTTGAGACTTCTTCTGATAAGTGTTTAGTTGGCCAAGGAATTTCGATGATTAATGTTAGTAATAGTAGTGTTAGTAATAATTTTATGTTACAATAGTATTTAGGAATTACCTTTCCCACAATATGAAACCATTGTCGTCTATTGTAGGCACTGTATGTTGTGGATTCATCTGGAAATAACAAAATTAGCATACTATTAGGCTAAAAATTTCATCGTTACATTTTTACCTACATTTAAATTGAAAACATTGATTGATATTGATTTTACTAAGATTAAAAATATTTCATACGTCAAAATCATCCAATTTAAAAACAAAAGAAATAATAATACTACGTTTAAAATCGGTATACTAATTAAATATTGTACTTTACTTTTCAAAGGAATAATCTGCCAAATGTTTTTCAATTACTAAACTTTATACATATGTAGGTACGCACTCTGTTTTAGTTTAAGATGACTATAATATTTTTTATATTACTATTACACATCGAAAAGAAAATATAATCATTGTTTAAGATATATTTATTCATCTAAACGGTCATTACTTAGCGATAGAACTTACAAACTATATTTTTTCTTTTTAAATACTTATTTTAAAAATAAGTATAGCCTGTTTACAAATTAGAACACGAAACGAATAACCATATATCAACGCAAACAAATATTTCTTGAGATTCATTAATTCATCTCTTTCTCGCTGTTAATAAATTAAAACTAACCTTTATAAACTCTGGCTTCTTTTGTTCTCCTTCCATGATATTAATCAGTACCAGTTCCACGTCCAGTCCCAGAAGTTTTGCAGTCAAGAGAACAGCACGGCAAGGCGGTGAGACAGGATAGTAATACACTTTTATCGGTTGATTTGGCATCTTACTGCGTTTGGATCGAGCGGCGGCGCTTCTATAATAATTAATTAAGTTTTTTTTAATAGTACAGTCAGCTGCATAAATACCGCAAAATGGTTTTAAAAAGATATATGGCAACCAATCCGCCAATGTGGTTGACTATGGCCCAGTCACCCCTGACTTAGTAGGCTCCGAGACTCTCGGTGTGGACGTATATGAGCAGACGATGCAAAAAACGTTATCTATATTTACCAAACCTATGGTTTGATGGAAAATAATTCACGAATAGATCAAAAAGTTTCCTAATTATAACAAAGTTGTAAAGTCACTTATGCGAAACAAATTAAACCACGTAAAATCTATATCTCTGCCAACCAGTTTAGAGCATAATTGTGTTCAATGAAGTAGCAAAGATATAAGGTAGATGTCGTATAAAACAAAGCCTGTTTTACAAACTTTTTGAAACACTGACCTTGTTAACAGTGCTAAATATTTGTAAATTAGTAAGCAAATTCAGGGCTCCAAACATGTGTGGAGTTCACGATAATTAGAACGATTTTGCATTTGTTAACAACTTTCCATTGATGATTTAAATGTTTTTTGTTTACAAATAAAATTAAAAGTAGAAAACGCTTTTAAAAACAAGCTTTTATTTTGTTATTGTTGATTCAAAGAAATAAAAAAAAAGATCGTCAAGATGAAACTAGATGAGATTGTGTCGTTGCATTGCAGAGTTCCTATAGCCACCTTCCAGGTCCATTATCAGATTATAACTATATCATCCTAATATTTCAATGCCACGCGATTTACAGTGTAACTGTCTTATGCCACATTTCTATATGCACAATCAGTAACCGAAAAATGGTTTAAAATTAATTTGCTAGATTTGATGACAAGAGTCGGAACATATACTCGTAAATCTAAATAAAAGCTCATTAAAACTTGCTTGTTGTGCTTGAACTTTCCCTATACTTATACGTATTAACGTGATGCAACCTGCACATATCTGAGAAGAAATTCAAAGATATGTGTGAAGTCAACCAACCCGCACTTGGTCAGCGGTTGACTATGCCCTAATCACCCTTAACATAGTGTAGGCTCTGAGCCCCTCGGTGGGGACGTATAGTGAGCTGATGACGATAGGTATTATTACAAGAAGGTATTACACCCAATGCTTACCCATTTATATTATAAACTAGAAGAATGCCAACTAAAGTTAAAACAAACTTCATTTTTAAATAGACTTTTCTGACTTCAATTATCTTTATTAATATCACTTATGATGTCTTCAATTGTTTATAAATCTTCACTTATTATTTGTTTTAAAATCTTACACATAAATAGACGAAGCAACAAAGTTTTTGATAAAATATCTGATCTGTAAATGACAAAACAAATGCGCGCCAACAGATTTATACGCTAACGTAATGATAGTAGGCCATTGTGGTAATGGCCAGTGTGTAATAATGTTATGGTGACGGAGATCAAGGTAGCCATGAGTGCACATTATATGTGGTGATTTGCAAAAGATAGATAAAAGTAGTCATTATCAAGTACTGGAATTAAATAGAAAAGTACAATCAGGTTTACTGTAAATTCCAGCATAATTAAGAAAATTATTTCTTTTGATTTGTCTTTATCTTATTTCTTTATTCAATTGTTTTATTAAATTTAATCTGTACTTTCTACATCTTACTTATATCTTACTAATACGAGTATTATAAATGCAAATATTCAGATGTATGGATGGATAGATGACTGGAACTTTGTTAGAAAGTATCTCTGGCTGAACAGATCTCGGTGAAATTCGAAATAGTCTGGAAGAACACATATGCTACTAATTAGGTTTACAAATATTATAATTGTTTGGAGGTATGGATTGAGGTAGGAGCGTCGGTGGCTCAGGGGTCAAGCACTTGACTTTTAATCTGCAGGTCCTGGGTTCGAATCCCGCCATATACCAATGTGTATTTCGATTTCCGATTTACATTTATCCAACGTTCTTAAGGTGAAGGAAAACATCGTGATGTAACCTGCTCATTTCTGAGAAGAAAATTCAAAGATACTATGTGTGAAGTCAACCAACCCGCACTTGGCCAGCGTGGTTGACTACGGCCTAATCACCCTTAACTTGGGGTAGGCTCCGAGCTCCTCTGTGCGGACATGTAGCGAGCTGATGATGATGATGGATGGATGGAGAGATGGATGTTTATTGGTAGATATCTCGGAAATGTGCACGGTTCTTTATTAAAATATCCATCTCAAAATGTAATCTTAATCGAGAACAGCTCAAGGAAATGATGAAATAACATACACATACAAAGCTGGAATTTTTTTTAAATTTTCACACATATTTTTGGAATATTATGTTTTCATATGTATAATTAAAAAAACATTATTCAGATAATTTTCACCAAATAATACATCATAACGTTGAATTATAATAAGTATAAAAACGTAATACGTAATTTCACACTGGCTGGTAACAATATGTAGCCTTGAATAAACCATGACATGTAGTACTAAAATTTATTCTAGAAATCTCTTAACTTACATATTACTAGTAATAATTGGCACATACAAAATTGTACTTATAATAAAAAAAAAACATTTTGAGTTTAGAACGTACGAGAATCCTGCTCCTTATAATGTTTAAAATAATTAAGTTAATTTTAATCGAATTGCATTTAAAGTCACAATTTGTACTTCAAACCAAATAGATTTATTTTATAATTTTCCACTTTACTTTCGCTTTTTATTGCTTTTAAAATTGAATAAACACTTAAAAGAAATATGGCAAATTTGTCGTAAAATTACATTTTTTCAGTCCACTTGAATTTATTTATCGTCCAACACTTCCACTGTAGACGCACTGCTGGCGTTATCATGCTGTTTCTCTTCCATTTGTTCCATATCCTTATCGGCATTTCTATTTGCATTCACATCGGATACTTCAGTTTTAATTGAATTTATACGTTCACGATTCTCATCCTCAGCACCGACCGGTCCTGTTTGAGTTATTTTAACTTTCCTGCTTTTAGTATTGCCCATTTTGCGTGGTGAATTAATACGATCCCATGTAACACTGGCACACAACTCAGTACTCTAGCTACAAACACAAACAAGATAACGCTCGAATCTTTATAATTAAAACGGTTCCATGACACTATGACGACACCCGATAAAAATGGAACGAGTGCAATGGTAACTAAAATGCAACTGGCAAGAAGACACTTTGTTTAAAACATATTATAATCACAATAAACGATAAGACAATGACACATTGCCAGTACGTTACAGTGA